ACCGAAGCAAAGAATATTATATCTCAGTGCTTTGAATCAAAGGCAATTTTCATTACATCTTAAGTGAATAGTAATCAACTTTTCCAAACTTGTTTCTTAAAAACTATTACTATTTTATAGAGTATGGTTCACTGTTCAAACATGTTGAAGATAAGCAAAAATTGGCCAGGAAACAAGCAAATGAATAACATTTTCATTATCATAAAACCTTCAAATTAATGTTTAATCTTCACAATGATATGCTGTAATTCTCAATTGGTTAATGAATTATTGCTTTTATAGCCAATTTGAACTTTAAAAAGCTTTTCCAATAATTTACACTTCTGGATAAAACTGAGAATTTTGAAACTGCAAATTCATAGATTTTATTTATTTACAAACATCAAACATTTAAAGAGAAAATTCTCATTAATATTTATATCTAAACTCTTTTGGATTGTATTTAGATTCTGTGGAGTGTTTTTTTGTATTATTGTTTAATATATACAAGGCATTTTTGAAATGTTCAAAATGAAAAAAAAAGAAAAAGTGGTGGTATTAGTGTCATTCAACCTAGTATCCTCAATCATGACTGTCTTTCTGATTGTGTGTGGCTCTCTCCTGGGGTAGGTCACATCCAGAAACTATTATCATCTAGTGTTCTTAATTTGTCAAAAATACTTTTCTTTAAAACTAAACTCATTTCTACTGGATTTAAACACGTTATGAACTTCATTATACAATAGAAAAAATAAAACTGCTTGAACATCAGTGTTTTCATTTGTACTGTTTATTCATTTAAATTCTAAGTTTATAAATTGTTGGCAAATTGCATTTCAAAATTTTTCAGAAAAAAAAAGGGGGGGGTAAAAGAAGAGGAAATGAACAGCTGCTTCTCGAAAAAAAAAAATCTGCAGAAAGTATCTAACGTTATTCATTAATAGAGTAAATGTGACAATCACATTTGTATTGCTACATATCCAAATATCAGAAGAAGAGGGTTAAATTTGGTTTGGTGACCAAAATTAAGAGGAAGACAAGAAAAAACAGTAAATAAGAAAACTAAGACGTTTTTAATAATAAGGAAATGTAACCTTTGCTCAAACGGGCAACACTACATGAATTCAGCCTAACACGAGATCCATTATGAAAGCCATCAGGTTTTCTAATTGTAACAAATGAGGCTCAAGTGGACACCTAAACAACTCAACTGACTGAGAATTTAACAAGCAGCATGAGTTATTAACTTTCAAACAGACAACACTTAGCAACTTGCTCAGTTAAAATCACATGGCAGAATATTTCCAGTTTCTAGCAATTCAATCAAAGTTCACAGAAGAAAATGCATTAGTAAAGAGCATAAAAACATATTTGACAATACTGTGTTTTACTAAACATAAGTATTTACATCTCAATGAAACGTTAAATGCTTTCCATTAAAAGCCTTCAAATGAGAATAGCTTTTTTATTACGCTTTTATAACAAGTCTTATATCAATTAGACAAAACATATGCATTTTGCTAAGTCATTCACTTTGAAAATTTAGCAATCAAATCACAACATAGTAGTTTAATGCAGAATTAGTTTAACTAATCAATTTAGGGATGAGAAAACAGTATATGCAATGACAGAACAAGACAGCTGGAGCAGTGAACTATTTATTTATTAGTAGTGTCATTTCCTTGTTTGTAAAGTGAAAATAACTCAAAAATGGGTAGAAAGTAGTTGAATGAGTTAATGTTTAGTTAAATGTTCACCTTTGTAACTTTTCAAAATTAAAAGGAAACTGCAATAAAAAAAAAAAAAAAAAAAAAAAACTTTCTTTAGCTAAAATTTAATGAAATGCTAACCAAAAATAAAATTATTGCATAAAATAGTTACATGAATCAGAAAATAGAATTATTATGAAGTGTGTGTTGAAAAGTTCACAGCCTAAACAAGACTTATCATTTGGTTAGAATTTTTATTTAGAAATAGATCAGTCTGAGAACTTTTCAGCACCTAACCTCATACACTATTGAGAGAGAAAAATTTCAAATTAGGTGTCATGACTTGTACAGTCAGCTATCATTATTGTGTGTAAATCAAATTATAGAATTATCACAATTTTTACCTTTGACCACTTTTCAAGAAAGGTCAGTTTAATTGAGATTACACTGATGATAATATAAAATGTATTTATTTATTTTTTTAAAATATTACAAGATGTATAAACTCACTTAACTTGGAAAGTAGTAGAGATTTGAACATTTAGCTTACCAATATTTGGTCAAAATTATATCTAGAAACCTTTTACATGGAAAATTTTTAGAGAAAAAAAAAAAAAAAAAAAAAAAAAAAAAAAACAAAAAAAAACAAGCTAAATTGTATACAATGCAAGTCAGTTTTCTCAAATTTGGCGTTAAGCAACCAATACTGGGAAAATGTTCAGAATATACTTATAAACATACAAAGTGAATTTTAGTTTGTTTTATCAGGAATATTACAATACCTTGAATAAGATTTTATTATGCAATTACAATTATTGCTATATATATAAGTTATTGATATTTATATTTTAATTTCACACACAAAGATTGTCATACGGAAGATGACTTAAAAAGAGAAACAAGATATTTTAATGTTACTCACTGATAGGATCATAAGGTTGGTAATAGAGAATAGCGATCAAAGAACGTGGGGGGGGGGTTAAAAACAATCTTTAAAAATAGCATTAAAAAAAGACTTGAGAAAAACTAAAAGGATAATAAGCATGAAGTGAACTGACCAACAAGATTCAGAATACTAAGAATATTGGCTAAAGACATGAAAGCAACCAAACTTTCATCCTTGCCTAGGTGATGTTTGCTTACAGAAGTAAATGTATGAAGCAAAGAAGTTCATCAAAACTGATTTATCATTTTTTTTTTTTTAGTGTTGATTAGGGAGCAATATTGGATGGACCTGATAGCTAGGTCCTTTGTGGTAGTTTAGAAGACAACAGATTAATGTTTTCAGCTAGTTTTATAATTTTATTAAATTATAGCTTCTTTCAAAGTTGATGAATGTGTCAAAAAAAATTTAAAGAATTATTTATCAGTTGTTTTGAATGGTACAGATCATAAAAAAAAAATAGCATCAAACTCAAAAGTATATTTATGCAAGACAATTCTCCTTCAGTCAGAAATTGACTATTTATCCATCCCTTTGTTAAAAAGAAGATTTCAAAACAACCAAGTTATTGGAATGATCCATAGCTACTTCATATATTAATCCAATAGAAAATGTGGCCCATTATTAAAATGGGCACTTATGAATGGAAAACAATATTTAAGCAATAAGTTTGCCTATAAATTGATTCACACTCCTCCCTAGTCTTTTAAACAGGAGTAGATGTTTGCCACTTGTTTCCTGCTTAGAAATAGGTTTCCCGTTCCTTCTAAAGTTTTCTCATTCTCTTTCACTCCCAGTAGCTCCTGATGTCTTAGTGGCCTTGCTTGGGGTCAGTCGATAAATTAACAAAAAATCAAAGGATAAAGAAAAATTTGAATTAAAATATATGCCATGCTTTGCTTGCCTAATAAAATCTCACCTGCCTATTAAAAATGAATTATCAATATTTTTTAATAAGGATAGATATAAATGTAAAACCTAACATGTTGCTCATATAAATATATCCTGAACAATTTACTAACATTGGTTATTATAAATTTTATTCTGAAAACATTCAGCTGCATAATAACATCCAACAGTATACAGTGAAAACAAAGAGAATGATGTTTTTTCACTATCAGAATATGCAATTTGGACAAAGAATAAATGCTGAAAATGAATTCTCTTGTTCAAAACTATCAACTAACAATAGAGTCTCATATATAATTTTTATTATTCTTATGTTGATTAGTAGATTTATAATTAATGCTACTTTTTCTTTTTAAAAATAGGTATGTAGTCATTGTTTTTTTGGTATGATTTATTGGCAGTATTTGTTAAGAAAAATGTGCACTGATTATGCACATTGTACAGCAATTAGAATGAATAGAAGTTAGAGTTGCCCCACCCAAAGAAAAAAGAAAAAGAGGGTTAAACCTGCCTTAAGTAAATCAGTGTAATAAATTATAATTGTCTCCATTGACCTTCATAAAGCAACACCTAACAATGACTGTTACCTCTTTGAAAGAATTCAATTCAATATTCATATACAAAAATCTAACCTCTATGCAAAATACATCAACCACTCAGATTTCTTTACTATTGTACTATTAAGCAAATCATCCTAACATATAGTGTTATGTTTACAAGACTGCAAATGTACTAGCCAGAATGAAAAGGTTAGGATTATTTTAGAGACAAAATTGTCATCTGAAGTTAAAAATTTATTTCAGTTTTTATATAATCCAATGTAAATACTGACATGCAAGTATTTTCATTGCAATTTTGTAGAATAAATTCAAGATCAATTATCAAGCTATGGGGACATCCTGACATTTATAATTGTTTTCAATCAAAACTTATTAAATTCTGATGAACAAAATTAACATTTTTCTGTCCCCAGTTTTATAAAAAAGACAGCAACACAAAAAGTACAATATCTTGTAGGTATTTGATGTATTGTTATTTTAATGTAACAGATTTCAATGTGCCTGCTTAACATGTCAAGAAAAATCATGGAAAAGATTTTTTTATTTAAATGATATGTAAGATTTACATTCAAGAAAATGTTCATAGATTTTGATAAATACAAATTAACATTAGCTGTTTAATCAAAATAAATTCAAAAACAAATTAAGATTAAGTGGAATCAGCTTACTTGAAGTAAGCAAACAGTATATTTAAGAATTCTCATTCATGGCATTTGAAAAAAGTTCTAAAAAAAAATTGTTAAAAAAATGAAAACTGAAGCAGACAATGGATGAAAAATTTGAAAAATTGTATTTTTTTTTAGCAGCTGAAAACTTCTAAGTATGGGTTTGTAATCTATAACAAGTTGTTGAGATTTTTTTTTTAATTTTATTTTTGTTCAAACTTAAAAAATATCTTACCGTAACTGCATGAGTAATATCCATAGTGATATTGTAAATATGTTCCTCTGAAAAGAAAAATATACATTCTTTGATATATAGATATTTTTATGCAAATCTCTCTCTTACATATACAGGGTGGGTGGAAAGAAACTCCCTATTGAAAATTACTTATAACTTTTGTTAATATCACCACATTTGCATGAAACAAAATATACTGTGATTCTTAAAGTGATAGAATTTCCTTGCTAATTTCTGTTTTTATTTCAGAGTGACAAGTGTAGTGTAGAATGACATAATACCTGACATTGCATGAGTGTGCTCAGCTAGCATCCAGTATGTGGCATTGTGTGGTATAAGTGCAGAGATGGTGGTACAGTGATCATAGACCTTGTGCTTCAATAGATGCCAAAACCATAAAAAAAAAAAAAAAAATTGTCATTCCAAGCTGACAAGTACAGGATATGTGGTAGATCTGTACAAAAGCAGTTGTCCTTCAACATCCAAATTGGAAGAAAATGTGCAAAAGTTACAGGAAATATTATGTACTCTATTTCTACCATTATATCGTTCAAAATAAAACAGGTTTTATGAAAATCTAATAATAATTAATAAAGCTATTGACAAATAGGGAGTTTCTTCCCCCAGCCCACCCTGTATATTTAAACAAGAGCAAATCAAAAATTCAGGATTTATTTATAAATATTTAATAAAAGCAATCTTATAGTTTCAAATTGTTTCAAAGAAGAAAACAAAATTTAAGAAAACTTGAATGAATTTAAAATTCCCTGCTACACAATACATCAAGAGGATTTGTAATTGGAATTCTCATTTTCAAAGTTGACTACACATAATAGATTGTAAGGAAAAGACCAGTTAAAACAATTGCAGACAAAAGGACATTAAGGAAAGATCATAAAGCAAAAAGAGTTAAAAAGGAGGTGTAGAATTTCAACTAAAGATATTTATGAATGTTATTTTTCAGAGTTATTAGGGAAATGAAACTCTTCATACACTAAGTAGAAATGCATTATACTGTTGGATTGGAACAAAAGTTTGTGGCATTTTTAAAATGAATTTCAAAGACAATATTTAGATATTTTTCTATAAATTTATTCTACCTTTTGCTATCTTTGAGGAAGCTTCAGGATTCCATCTTCCCAGAATTTAGCATCTTTTTGGGTGATGAACTGGTTTTTCCAGGCTTCTGGGAAATGGAATTTTGTAGGGATCAAAACAAGTGGTAATTCAAAGATGCAAAGTTAAGGGAGTGCAGCATCCCCACCAAGGTGTGCCAATTACTTCCAGGTTCACAAAAAGACACGAGGTCTGGCACTGTCATGATGGAAGACAACATACTTTCAATTTCATTGATTGCCAACTTTAATCAGTTCAAATGGGAACAATGATCATTTATATTCAGTGATTGATTTTGTGTAAGCAGCTCACAATACACAATGTCCTTCCAATCTTACCAGATACACAGCATCCCTTTTTTCCAAATAGGGATCAGATTTTAGAGTGGTTAAGAGTGGCTTATTTCCTTTAGGACCTTTTTGCTCTACATTTCTGTAAGCAATCCCTATTTTCATCACCTATAAACACCCTTTACAAAAATGGGTCATTTTTGTTGCATTTGAGCAGAGAATCAAAGATGGAAGTGCAATTAATTTCTTTTAAATCATGAGGCATTTATAACAATTTATAGTAATTCATATAACCAAGTGCTTTCAAATGCCTTACAATACTCACATGCAATATGTGGAGTATCTCCGATATCCTGTCAAGTGACAGAGATTATTTTTAATCAGCATTTAAAATGCAAACCTCTAGGATGTTTTCATTCTTCCAGAACAAAATTTCACCTCTGAACCTAGCAAACTACTTATGAACAATATTCTCAGCTATGGCACCATCTCCATAAATGGCACATATCTTTTTTTGCTGTTTGTACAGCTTTTTACATTTTGGAGATAAAATAAAATCATATAATGAAAATGTCTCATTTTTCCTCTATTTTCACTTTTGACATATAAATATTTAAATTTCATACCAAAATATCACTCCACTATCATTCAAGAATTAATGGCAATAAAGGAATTTGTGTGTTAGAAATCTCAGCCATGTGCAAAGCACAAATGGTACAAACTTTTGTTCCATCCCTATACTTTAGCACTTTAGTGTTGTGCACTTGTATATATTTTTATAAAAATATATACATCACACTATACACATATCAAAATACAGATGCATACAATACACAGCAAATATCAATTTATACCTACTGATAATGCCAACAAAGAGGATACACTTAAACCTAAAATTGCTCAAAGTTAAATGCTACAAAAAAAAAAAAATAAAATAAAATAAAATAAATAAATAAAATACTGCTATGAAAATAGAATTAATCTCTGAATGCTGTGGAATAATAAAAATTTAATTAAAAAAAAAAAAAAAAAAAGTTTGTTTTTCCCAATCTTTATTTGTTCTTTCAGGTAACTTCATAATTCTATGCCCCCCAGACAAAATTTTATATCTCAGAAGAAAAAAAAAAAAAATGCCCTAGGTGTTTTTTCCTATTTTCCAAGGTATTTAAAGGTTTTCTATTAAGATAATTATGAAAAAAAAATAAATAAATAAATAAAAACTTTCCAAACAAAATGTGACAAGTTTTAGCTTGTTGAAAAAAAAAAAAAAAAAATAAAAAAATAAATAAACAAACAAGTTTCACATTATCGCAGTAGAACATTATGTGCTTTCTCTTAATTCTGAAAGCTTTCCATCAGCTGCAACTTGTTTTTTTGGAAGGAACTCAGAGCCCACCCCCAACTTCCAATCCCATCACATACATTATCATTTTCTCTGACCAGCCTTTGTGATTTGCTTGCCCTATATTGTTGCAAAGCATCCTCTTTTCATCACTGAACATAGGGAGGGGGGGGGATCAATATGGGGCTGTAATTTTGTTCTCCTAGGTAGAAACCATACATCAAAGCAACAAACACAACCAAACCAAGGCAAATAATTTTCAATGCTTCATTTGAATATTTCAAGTATTTTGGCTAACTCCTACATTGTTTAACATCAATTATTCTCAAGTAATATTTGATGTGATCGCAATCAACCTCAACTTGTCTACTTAGCTGTGAAAAATCAGTCAATGCAAAACTTCATGAACCACTTCCAGTAAATCTGATCACTTGCAATGCCATTTACAAAAACTGCACAAATTATTTTTGCATTTGAGTTGCATTCCTACTTTTTCTGAAAACAAATATGCCAAAAGGTTACTTATTTTCTTCTATTTTCAATGTTAGACATAATGAACAAAAACATGTCAATTTGGACAAATTTTGTTTGAAAAATACCCGCTGATATGACAGCTGTCAAAAAAGAAAAAAAGTATTCTTTCTGAATAAAGTTCAATGTTCCCAATGCCATCTGATGATAAACAAACTTTTTGCTCAGTCCAATACGTTACAAATCAAATGTAAAAGGGCAATTATCTTGTTAACAAGAACTTACATTTCACAACCGTTTTTTATTGCAATATCTATATAATACTGAAATTCTAAACTTATATGTATGTTTGTGTGTTCTTCAAAGGTAACAGCTTAAATGATATATAATAGCCCAGCTAATTTAGAAGCATATTGCACCTTGAACCCCTGTCAAGTGCAGTGCTCAATTTCATTAAAATTAGACAGGGGGTTCTTTAGCTTGAGCTGTTTTCTTGTTTTACAACATTTTTGAAAGCAAATTCAGTATTTGTTTTCAGTATACATTCTTATATCAATCTACGTATATAAGCAAACACTAGCATATTATATTCTATCATGTGTGTGAAAAATAAACCTGCATAATACATAACATTATTAAATAAATTTAAATATACATAGCACAACATATTTATACAATTCAGTACACTACATTAGAAGTTTTATTATAAACGAATATCTCAGATGTTTGGCAAGTACTTGAAAGCTGAAGATGCGATGTGGGTGCATCCTTGTAAAACAATCTGTATGGCTGGAAAAGTGAATCACATGACTTGATGGTAAATAAATAGATTCACACTGGTTTGCTGCCATTATATATTTTGAAATAAATGTGAGGAAGAAGTATTATTGCTTTAAGTAATATTGTATAATGTGAATAATAATTATTACAATAATGTGTATTGCAAATAAAAATTAAAATATATGTAATAAAATTAATATTGCTACCTCATCATTTTGTATCATGAACTGCTTTTAAAAGGAGGTCAACAGGTTTATAGATAGTCTAGTTTATTTCTAGATTTCTCAACTGAATTTATAAAAGTGATTAAGTGAACATACAATCCTCGAAATCAAAAACTTCTATTGAAACTAAAATAACTTATTCCAAATCATTAAGTTTTAGTGGCTTTCAATGTAAGAGAAATTGGGTTTTTGTATGAAAGAAAAAAAAAAAAAAAAAAAAAAAAGATAAAGAAAAATTATTGTCAAACTATTTAATGTTTTCCATAAAATCTGATCCATTTGTTTTCACTGCAGATTTCTATTCTAGTATAATTAAATTAACTTAGGAAATTTATAAAATTGCCACCATAAAAATGTTTTTTTTTTAAATCATTTACCAATACAAAATGAAAAAGAATTAAGTTTATTTTAACAGTAAATAGCAGATCACTACAGATAAAAAACATTCAGCAATTAAACTCTCATAGCAAAGATACTTTCAAATACATTTGTTTTGATAACTTGGGCTTTTGAGCTCTTATTTAGAAATAAGTCACCTTTCACCAGAAAATAAAACAAATAACAAAATCAGAAGTGATTGTTAAACAAGTTTTTGCGATATGATCTAACTCTTCATTTGATAAGAAATGCAAAAAAACTGCTTTTAAATTAAAGTTTGTGTAGCAACCTATAAGTCTACCTAATGTAATTATCAGTTGACTCTTAAGCAAAATAAAATAAAATGTACTTTATCTATGGTACTAATAAAATAATTTTCAATGCCACTTTTACCATGGACAATTTACTTCTACCTAAGCTAACATTTATATTTGATACAACTGAGA